ACCCCACTGTATGTCATATTCGACTACTTCCGCAATACTCATCTTACCATATTTCTGCCTTTGTCTCTGTATGTCTGTCTCTTACATCTTTGAATCACTCTTCTGTTCCATCTCTCGAACTTTTCTCACTTTGATGCTCCTCCTCCTCTCTGTGAAGCCTGAAGTCAACTAAAAGGGCGAATGCTAACTATCAAAACGCCTGCCATTTGAAATAAATTACTTATTGATAAAAACCTATAAGCCGATCGATAATTTCTTTAAGATGGTGGCGTCACTCCCGTCTGTTTGCCAAACGTCCACACCAAGCTCCCAATTGGCACCCAGTGTTTCACAGTTGGACTCACCAGGTCAAAAGACATGAGGCCATCGGAAGATAAGTTGGTTGAAGTCACTACCTCCATTCGACAGGTGCAAGATTGCCAGAAACGCGTCAGCTTTGCTAGAGAAACAAATCATGTTTGCGCTAGCGTAAGCACAAAGGTAAGTAGCATTCAAATTTGATGTGAAAATGTGAATTCCCTTTTAGAATATCATTTTCATTGCGAACAAATTACTTGTAAAATAGCCGTATTATCCGAGTTAATGCATTTAAGACGTAATTTAATCTTATTAATTGGATAAAGACACCTAAAGAACACCTCACTAAGTAGGTAAAATGGAGACATTTATAGGCTCGTATTAAGTTATGAAAATTGATCTGGAAGCTTCTAATTTCCATCATAAAAATTCGTTTAATTTCGAATTAATATCATTGCAACTGTTGAAGGATCACCTGTCTTCAATTTATGTTGACATTGCTAAAACAAATTTGTGAGAATTAATCAAATTTCACTTATGCAAATTTGAATAACATAGATATTGTTTAATATATTATTATTATTACTATTGAACTGTTACAAAATATTAAAAAATTTCAATTATGAGAGGCTGCTGAACGCTTTTAGCACGATGAGGTATAAAATAAACAGCGAAAAACGGAAATATCGTTAAATCACCGTCACCTTTCGGAATCGGGTCGTAAATTACTGACTAAACGGGTTAAATAGATAAAATGTTACAACTCGACTTCTGAACTGATGATGCGAATGCTTTTCTGCTCATTGCATATTGCCCGGTTTCCTAATTTGATGTACAGGCGATTAAGATGTTATTTTTGGTGGAGATAAGGCACTTATTATTTTTTACACAGTGCATATTCGATATTGATTGGTGGAATACAATCAAAGGACGTAAATCACGACGAATCAAATTTATATCCCCATTATTAAATTATCACATAAATCAATGATGTAGAATATGACATTCATCAACTTCCAAAATATTTTACCTTCATTAACACTCGTAGCGAGAAGAGCTATACGTATCGCAGAACGCAACCCAATTCCGAGAGTCTTCTTTATTCATTAGACGGCTTAAATTGGAGAATATTTGAAAAGATTTCCAGCTGATTTTAATTGTCTGTTTACTTTTGTATCTACACGATCTTAATTTTTTTCCAAAAATGGAAAGTTTTTGAGAAATGATTCTCCTTTTGTGTTTTCAGGTCCCTGGCAATCTCTCAAACGGTGGTGGATTGTATTGCAAAATCCATCCTGATGATAACCAATACTACTTAATTGGACTTCCCACTTTTGGCTGGCAAACAACAGGCCTATTTGCCTCCATATCTCCTCTGATGCGTTATATTGATACTCTAATTGGTTTAGGTTAACCTTGAGGTTCATTTCTACTCGTCAATGCCATTTTTTCTTATGGGATATGGGATTGATAATTTTAATAAAGCAAATAAACAAAATTTGTTTATATGATAACATCTTTTTTTGGGGGTGAGGGATGGGGTTAATGTTTAAATGTCACTTTTCACTTACTAACGTATTTCCATAAATCTTCATTTAATCACTTCACTACTCCATTTACTCTTATTTCTCATTGCCCTTTGAATTTGACATGGAGAAAAATAAACAATAAATAGGAGATGATAACACTTGACTTTCAGCCTTGGCTATACTCAGTGCTCCTAGAACTAGCCAAGCCACTGCAAAGCAGACGTATGGTGTGGTGTACCTTTATTTGTTTTTTTTTTTGAGTGTGTCACAGACGGGGAATTCAGTCATAATATGCACTTCCAGCGTGGTAACCACGTATTGTCTTTGGCTATTGATTGGTTAAGAGGCCTCTGTTTTTGTCACGCTAAAATTATCTCCCCTACAGACCTTATAGGAAAATATTAGCATGCTTAATGTAGGAATCATAGGAGTGGCCGAATATATCTTTTTCTATAAAAACATCTCTCCAGTTATTGAAACGCCAGAGCATGTGCTCTTGATGTCAGACAGAGAGAGAGAGGAAGTTGTTGAAAGCTTGATGCAACATTTTCTTCTACTCCCAACTGCTTGACAATCTTCTAAATAGCTTTACAGAAAGGATAAAAATACGTTGTAAGGTCTTCTAAATTCATATATTTATCTATTTTGTCTTTGCTGCACTAAATCTACTTTCCATAGAATCGATTAGATCATTCCAGTCAATAAATCATGATTACCCCAGTTACGTAGCTATGGCAATCTGAGGACCGAACCATGAACCCTGGATTTTGGAAGGTGAATTAGTCATTTCATACAGGTCATCGTGAGTTAGGTTCTTCCCTCTGGTTTTAAGCTATTTATCAATGTTCTTGTTAGCTAACATTGCCATCTTCCAATTTTCTCCAAATTAAACGGCGTCTTTCTGGTTCTTTTCCATTTATCGCCCTGTGGTAGCCAGATTCATGTAGTTGGGCTCAACCTCGCTTCTATATCATATAATGGTCCCCCATCCGGGGTTACTAAAGATGGATCTTTGTTGCAAACCCTATTTTATTTATCTACTTAAAGCTCTGTGTAATTTAAACAAAAATGCACATAGATTGGAAGTGGAAAATAATCGGAATGGTAGTAAATTAATTATTTCTATTAGGAAGATTTCAGTAAACATTTAGATTTTACGATAACACGGTGGATTTATCTTGTGTGCGTTCAAGCAATCATACATTTTTTGACATTAAGGGTCTCGGATGTTTGTTGTTGCTCTTCTAAATGCTCAATCGGATATCCAAAAGATTAAGTCAATTTGCATGAAACTCACCTAGGCACCATCATATGCATCCAACTTGTCAACTTCAGTCCGCAGAGAAAGGTTGGAAGGTGAAAGGATGCAAAGAAGTTTGTGTGGACTACCTCTCTAGCACACACACATCTCTCGAGAATTTAAAATCACACCAAAATTTGAAAACAAAGTGGTGCCGATAATGAACTATTCTTGTTACAATAAAATCCAAATATTTGGCTATCTTTTCAAGAAAAAACAACTTTATTGCTAACAAGTGCGCTTTCCTATATTTGTTTAAAAAGATGTAAAATTTCTTCCGAGGTAAACAACACAAAATTAAATCGTGGGTTACCTAATGCACTCAACTTCAATCGATTAATAGGGCAACTGGATTGATAAAACTCATAGAAAAA